GCATTTCTATTTTTCATTTGATATCTGTTCACTGTTCGTTAATAAAACATTTGACTATAGATAGACTAAAGAAAGTAAATTCAGTTCTATAGTGAATATAATAGTTCATAAAATCTTTGTTTTATAATTATTATGTATGTCTTTTTCCTAGTTTTAATTTTATGGAAATAAACTTTATTTCTAAATTTTAATATTTAAATTAATTAATATATATTTATTAATTTATTTATTTTTAAATATTTATTTAATAAAATCGAAGATAATTTATCTGAATTTTATTTATTAGAAATTTTACTTAATATTAAAATAACTATATATATATAAATATATATTATCAATTGAATCTATTTATCTAAATAAAAATATTCGAATGAAAAATTATAGAAAATAATATAATTTTCTTATCTGAATCTATAAAAAACTAAAAAATACAAAAGTTAAAAACATAATTTTGTAGATTTATATCAACATGCATTTCAGCATGTTACATACACATTGAAAATTAGAAACGGTATACAACTATTAAGCGACAGGTATCAAAAAATGTAAAAATCTAAACAATAAACGGTTTAATATTTTCTGTCAAGTCCAAACTTCAGCTATATACATATCTTTAATAGAACTACCATAAATGCTTAATCTTAAAGTTTCTTATAATATACTCAGATATATATATATTGATCTTTATATTTCTATCAAACTAAATTTTATTATTTAAATTTTTTTTTAAGTGTTGAATCTAGAAAAAATTTTATAATACTTCATATAATAAACTTAAGTGAAAATAAATAAAGGATCTACTCTACTTTTAATTCCTATTGTATTCACTAGCAGGTCATACGACTTTCTATTGTCGCATAATATTTACATACTGCGTACCTCGGCGCAATGATATTTATCAGCTGAATTATATTTGAATACTAATTGACTTGTATATTCAATGTTTATCATCTCAATGTTTAATAATATGGAGAATTTCAAAGAAATGCGAATAAGTCATGTTAAATCAAACGATGATGATTTTGACAGAACAAAACGATAATGATACAGAACATAAATTGCAAATTTCATTAAAAATGACTTTGATTTTTGAATTATCAATAATATAACAATAATATATCAATACATAAACAAATGTTAAATATTAGAGAGAAATTGAAGATATGAAGTATATGATATTTGATATAAATAATACACTACAAAGAATATATATGGAAATTTATTACTATCAATTCAATTGCTAGACAAGATGTCTTTTTCCAAACATTTAATGAACCAGAAAATTTAAATTTGATTGCATTTGAAGATCCTATAAAGTTTTATGAATCATTTAATCATTTAATCATCAAGTATTTATACAAACAAATATTTATAGCCAATTGTATACTTTCAATTAGGAATAATTAAATATCCAATGAAAAAACATCAATACACACAAAATGAGAAAGTATCTTGAATTCTATGGATAAAGCTATTTAAATATAGTTATTAAGAAGCGATTGGAAGAAATGTTTATACAATGTTTCATAATATAATGGAAGCCTTTTCTTCAATAGTTGATTGTATATCCATAGACAATAAAAAAAACATATATTTTAACTGTTTTCAGCTTTTCAATATTATGATTTATACATCATACAAATAATGAATTTTTTGTTTTAAAATATCGTACTATGATTGCCAAATTTCGTTATTATTACTCTATAAATACATTCTGTAACCTATAATAATATTTAAGATAAATAAATCAGTAGTTATTGAAGCCAAAATAATTTTAAATTGCTATAATTTACATAGCCGATCGTCATATAATTCAAATTTATTTATAGAATATTATAAATGGAATATTTATATATAAATGGAATATTTAAGTGTTAAGCAGAGAAATATATTTATATTTGGTGATATTTGTAGTTAATAATAAACATATATAAATAACTTGAAAAATGCAAAACAAAAATTTTTCATTTTATCCAAAAATAAATTGAAAATTAAGTATTAAATTTTCTATTTAAGATTATACTTGTTAAATCTGGAGTTAATCTATATAAAAAAGACAATTATTAATTAATATTATTATTAAATAAGAATTGTGAGTCGTAAATAAATGAAAAATATGAATTTCAAAATTCATTTTTAATAAGTATTAAATAATAGATATTTCTAATAGATATATGAAATATAGATATCTTATATGGATAATATCTCATATTATGAATTATGAGCACATAATATCGTGAAGAAAAAATAAAATATTATGTAATTTTTACTTTCAAATAATGTTATTGAATATGTTAAAAAATTAAATTTCAAAATAAATATTAAATTTAATTCAATTAATTTTTTTTTATTTCTATTCTTTTATTTTTTTTTTGTCATGCATAATCTTATTAATTTACTTACATATTGAGTAAAAATTTAAATTACGAAATAAATTTTAAGAAAGAATATAAAATTGAATAATATTATCATTTTTTCCTATCTTTTATTATCTCTATCTTTTTTTTTTTTT